TGTGTGTCTGTCTGTGTGTCTTTGTGTGTATCTGTGTGCCTCTTTGTGTGTATCTGTGTGTGTGTCTGTGTGCCTCTGTGTCTGTCTGTGTGTCTGTGTGTGCATCTGTCTGTGTGTCTCTGTGTCTGTGTGTCTGTCTGTGTCTCTGTGTGTATGTCTGTCTGTGTCTGTCTGTGTGTCTTTGTGTGTATCTGTGTGCCTCTTTGTCTGTCTGTGTGTGTATCTGTGTGTGTGTCTGTGTGTCTCTGTATCTGTGTGTCTCTCTGTGTATGTGTCTGTGTGTGTGTGTGTCACTCTGTCTTTGCCTCTGGCTATCTGGCTCTGTATCTCTGCCTGTCTCTGGATTGCTAACAACAACAATAATAATAATAACAATATTAAGAGGTGGCAATTAAATAGCCCTTTATTTTTAGACCAGAGCTGTGATTTCATCAGTGGAAGAAAAGCCTGGTGAGGGGACTCTAATTTCTAATGCAGAACAGCTTCTGTCCTGTAATTTGCCTGGACCCCTGAGAATTTAAATGACTGACCCAAGGTCACACAGTCAGTATGTATCTAATACCAAACATAATCCTACTTCTCCCTGAACCCAAGACCACCTCTCAAGCAACTACACAAGGCTACCTCTCACTTTAAAGCTTGCAAAGAGCTTAACATACATTATCTTATTTGATCTCCACAACAGCCCAGTAAAGGTCAGAACTACTGACATCATTATCTCCATTTTACAGATGATGAAACTGAGGCTGCCTTAAGTCAAATGACTTGCCCATGGTCACCCAGTAAATAAATGTCTGAATCAGTATTGGACCCTCAGTCTTTAGGCTTCCAAGTACAGAACTCTCTGGGTATTTGTTGCCTAGATTGATAGTGAAAAATGGAGGATAAATCAATTCTTTCATACTATCTCTACTGAGCATCCATCACGCATGAGGAAAAATGCTAATCTGAAGGGGACCCAAAGAAAAGTAAGAAAGACCCTTCCCTCAGAGATGGGTAGCTAGGTGGCACAGCTAGGAGTCAGAAAGACTCATCTTCCCAAGTTCAAATCTGGCCTCAGATCTTACTAGCTGTGTGACCCTGGGCAAGTCACTTCATCCTGTTTGCCTCAGTTTCCTCATCTATAAAATGAGCTAGACAAAGGAAATGGCAAACCACTCTAGTGTCTTGGCCAAGAAAACCCCAAATGGGATCACGAAGATTTGGACATGAGTGAAATGACTGAACAACAATACCATCCTCCAAGAGCTTATAATTCAGCAAAGGGGAGAAGATACACAAACAGAACTTTTAAAATGACTATGGTTAAAAATTAAAGGGTGATAAGCTATAAGAAAGGTGCAAAGCACTAGAAGAGAAAGTACTAGCATTGGAGTCCGAGGCCTAAGGTTCAAACCTCCCCTCTGATGCTTACTCTCTATATGACCTTGAGTAAGTCACTTTACTTCTTCCTCCTCTGCAAGACACGGTGGGTGAGCTGGATGTCTTCCAAGCCCCCTTCTAGCTCTGAATCTGTGACCCTAAGATCCTAATAGGAGGATTGGGGTGTGGACTTCAACATGACCAGGGAGTTTCACCCATGGTTTCCATGACACAGCACACTCCTCCTTTTACTTTTCCTCATTCTCATCCTCCTTCCACCCTAAATGTAAGATTATCTCTATCCTTGACCATCCTTTCTTTTCCTACTAAAATCTGTCCCTTGGTGGTCTAATTCATGTTCTGTGGCTTTAATTATCACCTTTATACAGTTGTTGCCATTCAATTGTTTCAGCCCTATCCAGCTCTTCGTGACCCCGGTTGGGGTTTTCTTGGCAGAGGTACTGGAATGGTTTGCCATTTCCCCCTCCAGCTCATTTTACACATGAGGAAACTGAGGCCAATAGGATTAAGTGACTCGCTCAGGGTCACACAGCTAGAGTGTGTCTGAGGCCAAATTTGAACTCATGAAGATGACTTTCTGACTGCTGGCCTGGCACTCTATCGACTGCGCCACCTAGCTGCCCCTCCATACAGATGACTCCCGAATTGTTATTTTAAACTCCACTCATGCTTCAGTCTGACATAGGCAGCTCCTTGCTGGACAGGATCAGATGTTCCATCTGGACATCCTGCTGAACTCAACACATTCTCAACAAATTATCTTCTCTTCAAAAAAACGAAACAAAACAATGTATGTTCATGGCCTTGCCATTCTCCCAGGCACTCAGATTAAGAAACTCTGATCTCTCCTATGTACCTAATCAAATTGTAATTCATAATTATTTGTATACGTGTTTCTTCTCCCACCTACAGATTGTGAGTTCCTTGAAAGCCAGTAAATGTGTTCTTTTTTTTTTTTTTCACTTTTGTATCCTCAGTGTCTAATTTATTGTTAGTCATTTTCAATCATGTCTAACTCTTCATGACCCCTTTTGGGGTTTTCTTATTTTTTCTTTTCTTTTTTTTGGGGGGGGCAATGGGGGTTAAGTGACTTGCCCAGGGTCACACAACTACTAAGTGTTATGTGTCTGAGGCCAGATTTGAATTCAGGTCCTCCTGAATCCAGGATCGGTGCTCTCTCCACTGTGCCACCAAGCTGCCCTTTTGGGGTTTTCTTGACAAAAATATCAGAATGGTTTGCCATTTCTTTCTCCAGTTCATTTTACAAATGAGGAAACTGAGGCAAAGTGACTTGCCCAAGGTCACACAGCTAGTGTTTGAGGCCAGATTTGAATTCAGGAAGATGAGTTTTCCTACCTCCAGGCCTGGAGCTCTATCCACTGCACCACCTAGTTACCCTAGTGTCTAAGACACAATGCCTAATAATTATGTATTGAAACCAATTGAATTGAATAGGACCAGGGACAGAGCCCTTCAGACTCCCACTAAGTACCTCCTTCCAGATCCCTCCTTTTAAGGTTGTGTCATTCAATCCACTTAACACCTATCCAGTCTCCACTTTATTTACAAAGATAGTATCAATCAATAAGCAAAATTTATTAAGCATTTAATATGGTCCAGGCACTCAGTTTGTCTCTGGGAACAAAAATACAAAAGTAAGACCATCTTTGCCTTCAGGGAGTTTGCATTCTACTGGGAGGAGACAAGATAAGTAAAAGACAAAGTGACTTCAGGGGATGAGGTACTAACAGCTGGAATATTAGACAAGGCTTCTTGAAAAAGATGGCACTTCAACTGGATTTTGAAGAGGCAGAAGGAAGAAGAAAGAGCCTTCTAGGCATGGCAGACAGCCTGTGCAAAGGAACTGAGGTGGGAGAGGGATACCAGAGGCAGCAAGGTGATCTGTTTGGTTGAAAAGGAGAATACATGAAAGGGAGTAATGTATTATGAACCTGGAGTCAGATTGTGAAGACTTTTAAAGGCCAAATAAAAAATTTTAACCTGATTCTAGATGTACTAGGGAACCTCTGGAGTTTACTGAGCTGATAGTGCCATGGCAGGACTCGGGCTTTAGGAATTTCACTTTGATAGCTGTGTGGAGGATGTGCTAGAAAAGAATAAGTTGGATCAGAGACAGTCTGTCTAGCTCCTTGCTGAATACAGATATTCTACATCTTTTGGCATCTTCTTTCCATTCCTGTCAAAAAAAAAAGAAAAAAAAAGAAAAAGATAATGCCAGGTTAAGTCAGAGGTGTCTTTATTCCACGTCTATTTCTAGTGGATTTCCTCTTCCTCTTCAGTTCTTCCCCTCTACCACCCCCATTACCTAAATTTAGACTCCCACCATAACTTTGTAGGAAGCAAACTCTATGTTGGGATCTCCCTAGGTACCTGTTCTCTATCTACTTCTCTCTTAAAATTTCACCCTAGACCCCTACCCAGTAATCAGGCAGCGGGGTGAGATCTAGAGGGTCCTCTGGGGTTCCAGGACATCTATCAACAGCCAGTCTACTTGTAAGGACAAGGTAGAACAAGAGTAGTATCTTATCCTGCTGACTGGGGACAGGAGACATGACTTGGGTCTGAGCGTCAAACTATGTGTCTCTCACCTAAGAAGCAGAGACAGTTATCACCTGTACCCTTTCCTCCTCCCCCCATCTGAGCCCCTCAGTATATGTGCCTTCCTTTAGAGTCTTCTAAAGCTCCACATTAGGGATTTGATACTAATAATGATAACTTACAACTTGGTGGTGTAATGGATAGAATGCTGAATGGGGAATCAGGAAGATCTCAATTCAAATCTTACCTCAATCTCTTACTAGGTATGTTACTCTGGGCAAATCAATTAATCTCTCTATAAAATGAGGGATTGGACTCAAAGGTTTCTGGGGTCCCTTCTGGCACTAAATCTATGATTCTACATAGCATCTTAAGGTTACAGAAAGCTTTCTTCCCAACTCTCTAAGGTAAGTAATAATAGGCAACTCTAGCTATGGTAAGGAACATATTTCAAGGGAAGAATATATTCCCCTGATTAATACCGTGGTTCAGAAGGTTAATCAATTCCTAACCCCCCTTACAAGAACAGCAGAGTTCAGAGGCAGCACATTAGAAGGTCAGCTTACCTTAAGAATATCCTATATATAATTCGTGTTTCTTTAAATCCTTATGTCCCAATCTCTTTCTCACTATAATTTCATCTTTTATTTGAACTCTTTTGGGAAAATCAAGGGGGACAAAGATAATTCTTTCCATTGTACCAATGGAAAAATTAAGGACCAGATAGTTTAAGAGCCTAAGGTCAGAAGCAAAATGGACCCAGAACCAGGTCTCCAAACTCTTTAGCCCAGAGTTTTCAGCTTAGCTCCAAAGCTTCCCCGGGGCTTTCTTGGGGCCTCCTATGTTTTTTTTTTTCCTTTTCTTCTTGATACCAGGAAACCCAGAGCAAACTCTCTTCCTCTAGGCTCCCCAATCTTCAAAGCAGAATAGCTGAGAGACCCCCCTCCCTTACACACACATAAACCCACTGGCCTCAATGGGTCCCATTGTCCAAGAGGCCCTTCTGGCCTGGTGACCCCAGTCCCAGGGCAGGAGAGGGAGGGGGGCTCTCCAAGGAGTCTGCCTCAGCCACCCTCCCTCTCTTAGGGCTGCCGCCCTGGGGGAGCCTCCGGGGCGGTCCCCCCATCTGAATGTGACCTATTGTCTCCGGGGTGGATTTAGGAAGTGCCAGGCTCGCATCAAACAGGCCTTCTCCCCAGGTGAAACAACAACAGGGTTGTTCGCTTGGGACCTTCTCTGCTTATCTCGTTTTCCTATCTCCTCGGGCTGAGCTGTGGTATACTGTTCATAACCACTACCCTCAGAGCCAATCAGGTGTTGAGGTTGGCCCTCCAGGCCGGGGGCGAGGTTATTTATAAATCGCCTCCCTGGAATATTTGAGCAGAGTCCTTTCACACACCTCCTGGAACACCTCTCTGCTGCCTGGAGCCCTGCCCCACTCTGCTCCCTCACTGGTAAGCAGCCCCCATCCCAACCCACCCCTCTTTGATGGGCCAGTACAAAGAGCACTGGGGATGGGAGGGGGAGAGGATACCAAGCAATGGGGAGGGAAGGGGGGCTGAGAGAGGCTGGGCATGGGCTGGCAGACTGTGCCAACTTGAGCTCAGGTGGAAAGGATAGCAGTAGTTTGTAGTCATCGCCCCAGAGCCAGCTTCCCTATCCCCTTCCACCATTCTTAGGGGGTGCTGTGCCCTTCTCTGGCAGTGTCCTCTATTATAATCAGTGCTAGCTAGGGTCACCCAGCATAGGTCGACAACATATTTCATTGCTCTGGATTAAGGACACCCTTTCTACACCTCTAGCTGGTGCTGTGTCTCTGTTTATATTGGGTTATGGCCGTTCAGGTAAAGGGGGGTGAGTCTCCTATAAATGAAGACAGTGCGTAGTAGATAGTAGGTGATTAATAAATGCTTGTTGTTTGGTAGATTGACTGATAGAAAGGATAATGGAAAGAATATTCAAGGAGGAGCCAGGGTTTAGCTCTACCACCAACTAACTGAGTGATGCTGAACAAGGCATTTCCCTTCTGAGGGGAGAAGTTTCCTTTCTCAGTTTCCTTCTCTGTAAAATCATAGGATCATAGATATATAGAGCTGGAAAGGGCTTTAGAGGTCACCCAGCCCAACTTTTTCATTTTCCAGATAAAGGAATTGAGGACCAGAAATGAAGTGACTTGCCGAAGGTCACCCAGATAGTAAAGGACAGAACCAGGAAACAAACTCAGGTCCTGTGATTCTCAAGTTCAGTGTTCCAAGTTCCAATAATCTTCCACCATACCATACTACAATAGAATGGGATAGATGACTTCTATGATTTCTTTCCAGTCCTGGCATTCTATGAGTCTATGGTTCTAAGTGGGAAAGGAGGGGATACTTAGGTAAGATGTATGCAAGGGACTTCATTCCTCCCCAATCCTCCCCGCTTCCCCGGAGAAAGGAGAGCTACCAACTTACTTTCTGAAAGCTTCTTGGAGAGAAGGGAAAAGGAAGGGCAAAACCACTGGGTGGTTGTCAGAGATTTCAGCCTTGAGCCTAGATTCCATTTCTTCCCTTTTTCTTGGGAACATCGGACTCAGAATCAGAAAGACCCAAGTTCAAATCCAGCCGCAGATATTTACTAACTGTGTGGCCCTAGGCAAGTCACCTAAACTGTCTGCTCAGTTTCTTCATCTGTAAAATGGGGACGATAATAGCACCTACCTCTCAAGGTTGTTGTGAGGAATAAAATGAGATAATATTTGTCAAGTGACTTGTGAATCTTAAAATGCCAGCTATAATCATAATAATAATTATTATTAACTTCTGGCTAGCCCAAATAATCCCAGCATCTTTCTTCTCCAACCTCCTCCCCACCCCCAAAACCTTTCTCATTCCAAGCAGATGTTTTCTAACTCATGCAGATGATTTCCGAGAAGTCAGATAGACAAGGAAGCGCCTGAAACATTCCCCCATTAGAAGGAGAAACCCAGGGGTCAAGACATCAGCCAATAGCCTGCATAGTCAGGAGTAGAAGTCCAGGCTTCTGAATTCCAGTTGGGGGGCCTCAGCAAGGCAGGATCTTCACAAGGGACAACTGAATTGAAGGCTTCCAAGAGCCAACGAAGACTGTGTAGTAGAAAGTAGTCATAGTACAAAGAGCATAGAATTAAGAGACATAAAGAGGCTTGGGTTCACATCCCAATTCTTCTTTAGACCAGCCATATGACCTTGGTCAAGTCACTTTCTATCTCCTGAGCTTTTGCACAAATTGCAAAATTAGGTAGTTGTACTGAAGAAAACAACAACCATCCCTGCTAGACCTTTGAACAGAGATTGGAAGAGTGACCGCTGTACCGGGCTGCCCTTGGCTGCTCTCAGTGACCCATTGATTAGCAGCTAGAGAGGCAAGCCCTTTGAGATCAGGGGTGAACAGCTCACTAGAGCCAAACTTTTGAAAGGCTTCCTCTCTCCTCTGACCCTGCCTCTGCTAAAGCACTGGGCCCTATTTCCCAAACCTATGCCTGAATTACACCAATAATTATACTGATACCCCAATGGCATGGCCAGGAGTAAGGCTTCAGTGTTTCCCAAAATCAGGACTGATGCTATTTGTTCCCACCAGACCCCAATTCCTATTCCCCCTTTTGGAGAGAAAGAGATTTCCAGTGTTAGGTCCATATCCCAAGGAGCAGTCAATCTTTGTCCTTTGGCCCCTCTGGTTTAATTTTCTTGGGCTGGAGACTAATTCTGAGGTCATCCATACCCTGACTCCAGGCAGGACTAGTTGAGACCCTTGTTCACAAAATTTTTCAGGGAACAAGATACAGAATTGAGATATATTTTTTTGAATGAGGCCAATGCAGAAATTTGTTTTCTTTGACTACCTAAATTTGTTACAAGAGGGTTTTTTTTGTCCTTTCTTTCCAGTGGGGGGGGGGAGGAAGAATAGAAAGGAGGAAAAAATAGATTTCTCTTCATGGAAAAAATTTTCATTTAATATTAAAAGAAAGTCTTCGGGAAAAGAGATTCTAACAGCTTCTCCTTTGATCTAACAGCTTCTCCTTTGAGGGCAGAGTAGGGGTGAGAGAAAGATGGGAAAGAAAGAATGACTCTCGGAATTCTATAGATATAAAGGAGAAATCTCTAAAAATTCAACAAGGGCCAAAAATCAGAAAGCTGTGATGAGGAGGCAAAAGAAGGCAGGAGAAATCATAAGTAAAATGCCATGGGCAATCAGTTGCCACCACCATCCCACTCACCTAGTGGGATGAGAATGTCATCTCAAACCAGCCCCTCACCCTAAATCTCCCCTGCCCCAGCCTACCCCTGATTAGCTGGATCTCCTAGGTCCCTCAGACTGTAGAGGAGTCCTCCAGCAACCAGGACCAAGGAGAAACTTCTAAGTGACTTTTCTTCTTCCCAGAATATAGCAACTGCCAGAGGAAGGGACCACTGATAAGGGATAAAGATTGATAAAGAGAAACCCACCTGACTGGGTTGTGGGTGGGGAGGGTGTAAGGGCCCAGATTCCACAGTGAGGCTCAGATGTGGCCTCCATAACTGACTCTATACACTCCATAAAGGTGCTTGGCTCATTTCCCATTCAGCCCTCTTGCCTTGTTACCCATCTCCCAATCAGATCACATCTTTCCCTCATTTG